TGTATAATAGACATAAAAAACCCACCCAAAACCAAAAAACATATATTTATTTCTGTATATATTTATATCAATATAAAAATAAATAAAAAGCAGCTGATACATATGCAAGTGTCTTAAGTCTGTCAAATGAGTGATGGGGCTGGTGAGCTCATTAGTTTTTGCATCTCCTCTGCAGAATGAGGAAATATGTCGTTTATCCAGCAGCTGACAGGATGAAAATAATGTGCTGATTTCAGTATTAGGCCTTGCTATTAACAGTCAAATGCATGAGGTTACCCCTTTGCAGGACTGGCGCAAGTGATAAGGTTTAAAAAATATGTGTATATTCTGAAGTCTTAGTGGCTTAAATTAGGATAAAACCAGTATTATTCTTGACATATTGCCTTTCACCAAAGAATTTCAAAATGGTTTCAAACATGAATTATTTAAGACCTTTTAGCACCAAGGCTCCGTTTGGGCATATCACTAGAGCATATGTTTCTATTTCCAGTTGACTTCAAGAAGGTATAAAACAGTCTTGGTTTCAGGCATATGGTTAATATTTTGATGAAGTGAACCCAATTTACAAAGCTGCCGAAATATCTATGTTAATTAGGAAATATAAGCAAAGATCTTGAATTATGGTCTTTACTTGTAACTTCTTAAAGATGTAGAATAAGAAACTAGATTTGGTTGGTAGAATATGAACACACTCTTAAATTCTCCTGATATACTCTTAAAATGTCTTCGTTTGCTTTTTGGTTTCTTTCTTGTGTGGGTTTGTGTTTGTGTGGTTGGGGTTTTTTTTTTGTTTTTTTTTTTCCCCTTTCCAAATGTTTAAGTTATAGGACTTTAAAAAAGGATATTTGATGAACAGCTTGGTTCTTGTTTTTCCTTTTGAACTGGTGATTTTTCATTATTTTGTTTCATATGCTTTTAGAGGAATATACCGTTAATCACCAGTAAACCCCACTAAAAGGCATTGGCAGCATTTCTAACTTGTGCAGTGAACATTTTGCTCATGAAAAATTGTGTGGCCAAAAAAAAAAAAAAAAGGGTGGGGACATGGCAGGTTTTGTAATTCAGTGAACCTCTTTCGTTTCAGGTATTGATTTCTTTTCAGTAAGCTCCATTACCTTATTGCCTTCAGCCCTGGCCAAAATCTTTGTTGGTACCAAACAATTTGATGCTGATACTACTGGTTTGATGTTGTTGCTGTTGCTTTCTTTTATTTGCTTATTATGCTTCATAGGTTTTGAGGTATGAGAGTCCTGAAAGTGTCTTATAGTACACAGCTTTCATGATCAATCCCAGTTTATGAATGTTAAAAACTATCATTTGAGCTGATCCTCAGCATTTGTTTATGGTATGTTTAAATACAATTAAAGCTTTATTTCACTTCTTGGCTGGCTTTCTAAATGATCTTGATTAATTTTTTCTTTCATAAAAAATTGAAAAAAGCCAACAGTGATTAATCTTTTTAAAAGACAAGGTAATCACTGCTACGAAACTTTTATTATTCTGAAGAAGCTGCTAAGCACTTTTGGGGTTTTGTGTGGTATTTCCTTTCAGTAAAGCATGTAAGTAGTTTTTCCTGTATGATATTTTTTTAAATTTTAAAAAGGAAGAGCCTGATTTCAGGCATATATTTAGCAGGTACCAATGTTTTTTTCCATGAAATTATCTTTTGATGGTTTACAGCTGAAAGGTAGGCAGGATAAATGGCTGTTGCCTTTCCAGCAGAGGACTGGCAGCAGAGTAATCCCTAGGGGGAATGCTTTGAAGAGGCCACTCCTGCAGCAGCTGCAGGTCCTGTGCTGGGAACTGCCAGGCAGGCAGTGGCTTCTGGAGGTAAGGAGGAGTCTGGCTGAATTTGGATTTATGCTGTGTGTTTGTGACCCCAGTGTTGCTAGAGCAAAGGAGCCTTATCTTCCTAAACAGGGAAGGTGCAGAGCTAAGGTTGGAGTTCGTAACCTTTTCTCATTTGACGTTCCTGTATCGATGTCCCTGTTCTGTCGAAGCTAATTATACAGTTTTACAGATCAATTCCCTCCTGGATTAACAGACTTCTGCCTGTGTAATTATTATGCTGTCTGAGAAGAGATGCTAAAGTCAGCACAGCTGTGTATAAAAGTTTGGGATGCGGATTCTGTTGCTGACATGTAAATGTAGCAGGGAGAAGGGAATTGCCGAATGACTGAATCATGACCAAATAGGATTTTTTGTTCATCCCTTCTTGCTTCTCTCTAAAAACAACAAAAAACTTACCACTGCCAAAAGAACTAAGTAAACTCTAAAGACAAGGCAGAGAAGACATGCATAAGAGGGACTCGGTTCATTGAGTTACTCTGACTCATGTTATCTAATAGATGTAGCTATTCTTCCAAATTTTAGAAAAAAAAAAATATTTGGGGAGAGAGAGATGGGCCTCTCTGGTTAGGGTGGTGATTGCTGAAGTGGAGAACCTGTCTTGGTTCCTTGTTATTCTTAGTGAGTTTTTCCATTTTCTGCGTGGCAGTTTAGAAATCTGGACTCTGGTGTGCAGAAACAATTGAAGAGAAGTCACAGGCAGCTTTGAATACGCAGCATTGAGGTCAGCGAGCTTGAGCACAGAATTCAGTATATTATAGTCCTGGCTTTGATCCAGGCAAATCTGTTTTTGTTTTCCTTGTTCCCTTTTGTTTATTTTTCTTGAGATGCATTCTTTACAGGAGGTAAGGGTTATGTTCTTTGAAGTTCATGGATGCTTTGGATATTCTGGATGTGGTGCATTGTTATTCTCTATAATGCAGATATTGGGCAGTAAACAGAGCAGAGACCGCTAATTGATTAAGTGATACTTAACTCCATCAGTTCTATGGCAGATCTGACTTATACTGAATGAACAAGATTCTTCTGGAAAAAACAGCAGTTGTGCAAATAGAAGCTGTTGCATTATGTATAGGCAGCACATAGGATGACATACAGCATCTTAATGTTGGAATCTTTGTTCCACATTGAGACCTTAAATTAGACTTGAAGTATGTTTTAAAATAGGTGTTATTTCTTCAAGTTCTTGTCGTATAGCTGCATGTTCTATGCTGTGGGTACTGTCCATACCTTTTTGTAATCCCAGCACAAACAAGAAAATACTTACCATGGTATTTATTATAGACCATTCCCAATCTGCCTCGCATTCCAGAATTCAGAGAAAAAGAAATTTATTTTGCCTTTTTTTTTTGGCAGGTGGTTTTGCATACGATGGGAAGATTAGCTTGATTTTTGTAGGGTGAAATTAAAAAGCAGTAGCAGCAAATAGTGGTCTTGAACAAAGGAGAGGAGAGAATTGGAATCACTGTGCGTATTTATGCAGTTAATTCTGGTTGTGGAGACTGATGAGATAAATATGTGATTGTTGGCAAACCCAGAAGAAAATAAGAGATTACTTTTGTACCTATTGGAGACAATTATGCTGTCTGGATGCTGCCTGTGGAATTTGATTCTGTGCCCATTTCTCTGTACTATCTGCTTGCATGTGATGATGAGTTGCTACCTAATGTGAAGCAGTGTTCTAGACAAGAGTTACCTAGTGAAGATTTTCCTAAACTCTTTTGTATGTTGTCTTATTCTTCCCAATCATTCAAGGAGGAGGTAACTTTCTCATGCTTCTTTTTTATTTGAGATAGTGGAACAGAAATATTTCTTGGACGCATCCTTGTGTGACTGCTTTTCTAATCTTTCTTTTCAATGTTTCTATTAGTGAAATATTTTTCCTAATGACTTGTATATTGGTGTGTAGGTGGTACTTAGGTATTTAGAGGAGCATTTGGTTTTGATAGTTTGTTCTGTTAATTTGGGTGATAATACATAATGATGCACTTTTTAAAAAAAAAAGCTTACATAGTGCTGTGTGACTGGCTTGTTTGTTGCTTGATGGAACAACTTTTGCGGTTTACTGTCTCTATAGTCACTGAATAGGGGATTAGTACGGTAGCAATAAATCCAGTTCTGTGTTGGACCTTCTGTTGTGGTCAGATACAGACCCCAAGAAAATGAGTGAGGAGTTAAAAGCTGTGTAGGAGATTCTGTAGCATTCGTATAAAGAAGGAAATTTAGTAATTTTCATGACTGAGTGATTACGTAGGATATGGTTCCTGCTCAAGAAGTCAGGGCCGTCTAACTAGGGACTTCCGATCAGCACTGGGGTTAATTGTTTTATACAGCCAGCAACACAACCTTCTTATCCAGTAGGTATTGGAATATGATCGGTGTCAGGGGAAAGGTTTATTTTTAACTTGTCAAAGCTTATGGGTTAAATTATAGTAATTGTTTTCTATTTGGACATGGGGGAGATGGTTTGCAGTCTTTAAAATAAGACTCTTGATTTGTTTTAGATGTATCAGATGTAAACATTTCTTGGGAATCTATCTGCTTCTTACATGAAGAACCTTAATGAAACTTT